TCATTTGGAAAAGAAATTGAAATGAAACAGCATAATACATAAAAACATGTTCTGTCTGGATTAAATATACTACTGTAAGAAATATTTAAATCTTACCAGATAATCTATATAAACTTGATTTGAAAAAGAACTTAGTAACTGAGCCTAGAAATTTAAAAGTCTATGAGAGAAAAGGGAGGTATATTGACTCTTTAATAATATTTTAAAACTTTTTATGTAAAATAATCACAACCCATTGAAAAGCATTTTTCTTAAGATTATTTAACAGGTCTATTTTCTCACATACAAATCAAAGGCTTGGTAACATGACTTCAGATGAAACCTTTGGAGAATTTTCATGGAGGATATAAATTCCTTTCTGATAGAAGTAACTCAGTAATTTCAGCAAAGATGAAACTCTGCTAGGAAAATCTGATTCATTTAGCTTCCGTTTCTGTGAACCTTTCTATATATTTAGTATTCATGTATCATGTGTAATTTCATATATTGGATGTACTGTTTATGACTATGTATTGTTATAAAATGTTACTTATATATAATTATATTGCTACTAATTCAATTAGTAGTTTACAAAAGAAAACAAAACTCAATTCAGTAGCACAAATAGCAAACTTTATAACATTTTAGTCCCTACTCTTAATCTCCATTGTCTCTCTCAGAAGGACTTGAGGACTCAGTCCCCCGGGAGGCATCCTTGAGAAAGAGGGGTGTCACTTCCTGGTGCTCTCCTCCCTCTCTCCCCATGGTGTGTTCACTCTATAAACTCTGCAGCTTGAGTTGTGCAATTCAGTGTTTGAGATTTCTTCGGTGACCAAAACCAGTGACCAATATTGATCAGCATAGCTTACTGTTACACATTTTGCAAAATTGGGTGGAAAATTTTCTCCCAAAATAGGAGTTGATGTCCTGTTTCCTATGGGTGCGATGCCTGCCTGCCAACATCTGCTTGTCTGTCCTACTTCACCCTGATCTTCCTGTTCACCGGACTGGAGGAAGGCTGCATGCTTGCACAAATGTACATATGGAAATAAAAGAAGTTGAATAAATTTCATCAAGTCAGTTGCACAACTTAATAATATACAAAGACCTCATTGTGTTGGAAGTTAACCCTTCAATTCAAGACTTCTTGGGCATAAAACTGATCTCCATTGCTTAAGATGGAGGTAAGTAGAATACATTTTGCAGAATCACTAAGTACATTGACACTAAAATCTGAGGGCTCTCAGCACTCATTTCATGGACAGTTTGTATTTCAAATTTCAGCACAGGTGAAACTCTGCTAGGAAAATCTGATTCATTTAGCTTCTGTTTCATGAACCTTTCTATACAGTATTCATATACTAATTTCATCTATTTAATGTGTATACTTATGCATGGTTATAAGATGTTATATATAAATATATACTATCTGCAAATATTAAGCACAATGATCTTTGTGGGAAATGAGAACTTTAGAGCAGGACAATCTTGGGTTCTAATCTTTAGGCTGCTGCCCCCTCTAGGACCTTGGGATAGTAACTTTGCTGAGCAGATATCTAAATTCAGCTTCTGTCTCAGTTCTGATGGGAGGCCAAAATGTTTAACTCAGCTTCTGTCTGCAAAATGAATCTTTCATCAACCGGAAAAAATTATGACAAACTTTCTTGTATTGGTAAGCCAACTTACAGTGTGTTAACTGTGTGAAAATTACTATTATTCATTCTTATACTCCAGCAGGAAGATGGTATCTGAGAAAGCATGGACGTTTTCATGCTGAACAGAACATAGCAGTGCTGTAATGTTACTGTTGAGAAAAACTGACATCTAAAACTATTATTCATTAGTTTGCCCGGTTATACAATGGTTTACTAGCAAATTTGGGACTAAAATTCTAGTTACTCTCTTGCCCTTATGCTCTTTCCATAGTGCAGCTTAAAAAGAGGCTTCCCAGCTGCTGTTGAACTTTATCTTTGGAATAGCCAAGAGTAGATAAGGAGAATTCAATAGGTGACAGCTAAAAATTAAATCAGTGTAAAAGCTCAGAAGGAGGTGGTTTGGAGTCATCTGGACATCTGGCTTAAAATAGTCTAAAATGCTCACATAAAATGTAATGTCAGTCAGCAAGTTGGTAAAATTCTCTCCTACCATTTCCATTAACTTCAGCTCAGACCCATTCTTCTCCCTTTCTGACTCCCTTGACACCTCACGTTATCAAATGTTTTGTTTTGCTGCCCTATTGAACACTTGCTACTCAACATGAGAATGACAGTATCTTGAAGCTAGCAGTGTAGTTTCACTCAAAAGCAGGGGAATCTACTCTATGACCTGGCAGCTCTCAGCCACGATTGCCAGCAGTTTGTCAGGGCTTAGCAGCAGTTAGCAGCCGATCAGACATGAGGCCCCCTCGGTTTTCGTTCTAGTTGTTTGCCCTTCAGACCAGACCTGGAAATACTTAGAACTTCTGCAATACAAAGACCCACAACTACATTATTTGAAGATATGCTTCCAAGAGCACTTGGTGCTCTGAAAACCCCCGAGTTTCCGCCCCTGCTTGCTTTTTCTGGCTCCTCATTTTCATTCCTTACTCTGCTCCCGTGTTTCCTGCCAGAATGATAAGTAATTTCCCCTCCCTGGTGTCCTCACTAACTAGAACGTGGGAGGAGGTTGGAGGGGCAGTTCCTGACTTGTGTTAGCAGGACGCTCAGAGTGAGGGGGTCAGTGGATTTAAAATTAATGAAGAACCCCTCCCACCATGCATCTGCAGAGAGGGCGCCTGAGAGAGGCCATCGTGGAGGCATTCTGGAAGTACCAGAGCTGGGCTGTGAGGAATGCGATGTCCCACATTAGAGAAGAGGCCTGGTGCCCTGACACAGTGATGAGACCCCTCCTGAGCAAACATCAGGAATGTTCCACTCCTCGCTGTTGCAGCTGGAGACAGGCCTTATGCTCACAGGAATACTCGGGAAGGAAGAAGCCCAGGAGCAACAAGAAACTCAGCTGCCCTGGCACCCCCAGGTTGAGCAGCCCCAATCCGTGACCTGAAGGGACATGTCCAGTTCTTGTGCAATTCAAGGAAATTGGAAAGCATGTGAAATCTCTCTCTGGGTGCCCTTTATCCTATATGGGCTGATCCTCGTTCCTGCTGATAAAATGCACGAGGCCCCCCCACCACCCTCTATCCTTCAGAAAAGCTTCTTGCTGATTCAGATTTTATTGTGAGAAAATATGAAGACTTCAAAACACTAAGTCCCCTAGAAAGATGTGTACCCTCCTGGGGATCAAGGTTTTCAAAAAAAGCAGTGCTAGCTTGAGAGTAAAATGCAAAAAGTAAACTGGGAAATGGGGGGTTTTAGAGATGTATTATTGCAAGAATACATTTGTGAAAAATTAGAACACAAAACAGTTAAAATTATAAAGCCGGCTTACTCTCTTCATCTCAGGGGCGACATTTTCTTCTTTATTCTTCAAGGGAACGTTTCATTTATACATTCATAGCATGATAATGCATGCAAGCATAGTCCTTTCTGAAATTGGTGCAATCTATACAAATAGTTGCCGGTTCTCATGCATTTGAATGTCATTTCCTATCCATGTGACTATCTCCAATTTTAAAAAAAGATTTATTTATTGATGCATACAGAACTGGGGGACAGGCCAGAGGTGCAGGGGCTGAGAGAAGTTTCACCAGAGGCAGAGTGGGGAGCAGAACAGGCAGATCGACGAAGTACACTGCTGAGGGGAGCAGCACGTGGGTCAGGAGAGGTCTGCCACGCCATGTGGTCACCTCTGGAGCAGGGATAGAACTCAAGCTGAAGTGCCTTTAGCTTCTTAGTACTGTGCTTTAACCTGCTACACCACTAGTGAGGGCCCTCACTTCAGTAACATTTGGCTGACCGTGAATCATGAAAAATTTATATTCTGATATGGGTAAAGTAATTAGTGTCCCGTTAAGATTTCTTTGGCTGGTGGACTTCTTAGTCCCGCTAGGAAATGCGGCCTCAGGGCTCCTGCTTGCTGTTGGGAAGCTCATGGCTTGCATCCTGCTAGGCAATTTAAAAGACCAGCTCCAGGCCTCCCAAGCCAAAGGCTACCAGGAGCCCCAGAGCTGAGTTTTGAACCTTGGGCAGTGGGGAACAGGGAAGGCAAGTTTTCAGTTGGAGAATCATTTTCATTGTTCCTGTTACATTAGGAATTACTGGTGAGTTCAAAAAATCTCTGAGCCCCGAATCACAGCTGCTTTCTTTCTAAGTGGCAAGGTCTCCAACAGCCTCGCCTCCAGGCAAAGCAGGAAGGTGTTGTTTCCTTCACTTTACAAATGGAAGCCTGAAGAACAGAGGGTAAGAAGGTTCTCAGATAGTGACTAATTCAGCAAGGACAGGAGAGGAAACCTCAATGATCAGATTTCAAATTCCACACTACTAAATGCACTATGTGAATGCCGAGCTTCTCCAGGAAGAAGACCTACTACTACTTAAATTGAGTCCATGTTTGTTTGGGGTGGGATTTAATAATTTTTTAATCCATCCTGCAACTCCGCGTCCTTTTATTGCTGAGTTTAAGCCATTTGCAGTTAGAGGTAATATTGATTACTGGCACCTACATTTGCCATTGGATTTAATAATTTTTAACTGACTCTCACAGAGCAGGCATCTCACTAGCTCTGGGAATGCCAGATGGCAGGAACTGAGCCCATATTACCTAGGACTGGGCACCTCAGGACAAAGACATGAGAACACTGAATGTACAAAATAAAACCAGGAGGATAAATTCCGTGAATGTGGAAACATGACAAAATTTGGCCTGAAAATTCCGAAATTCATTTTGTGCACACTCTGTCCAATACAGACACACTTTCGAAAGCGTGACAAGATTCTTTTCACCGATACATTTTTCACATGAACAACAGTATCAGTCTGTGATGCATGCAAATCATTTACGAAATGGTTAGAACCGACGTCAACAGCAGATTCATTCACGGACTGACTTTATGTTTCAGGGAGCCGAGAACTGAGCCAGTGAACATGCGCTGGGCAAATGAGAGCGCCCCGCGGGAGTTCATCCTCTTGGGGTTCTCAGATCGGCCCTGGCTGGAGCTCCCCCTCTTCGTGGTGTTCCTGGTCTCCTACGTCTTGACCATCGTGGGCAACCTGGCGATCATTGTTGTGTCCCGCCTGGACGCCAAACTCCACACCCCCATGTACTTCTTCCTCACCAACCTCTCGGTGCTGGACCTGTGCTACACCACCAGCACCGTCCCTCAGATGCTGGTGAACATCCGCAGCAGGAGGAAGGTCATCAGCTACGGCGGCTGCGTGGCCCAGCTTTTCATTTTCCTGGCCTTGGGCTCCACCGAGTGCCTGCTCTTGGCCGTCATGTCCTGGGACAGGTTCGTGGCCATCTGCCGGCCTCTCCACTACTCGGTCATCATGCACCAGCGCCGCTGCCTCCAGCTTTCGGCCGCCTCCTGGACGAGCGGCTTCAGCAACTCGGTCCTGCAGTCGTCGCTGACCCTCCGGATGCCCCTGTGCGGCCACCACGCGGTGGACCACTTCTTCTGCGAAGTGCCCGCGCTGCTCAAGCTGTCCTGCGCGGACACGACGGCCAACGAGGCCGAGCTCTTCTTCATCAGCGTGCTGTTCCTGCTCATCCCGCTCACGCTCATTCTCATCTCCTACGCGTTCATCGCCCGCGCCGTGCTGAGGATCAAGTCGGCGGAAGGTCGCCGGAAGGCCTTGGGCACCTGCGGCTCGCACCTGGTGGTGGTGTCCCTGTTCTATGGCACCGCCATCTACATGTACCTGCAGCCCCCCTCCCCGGCCTCCAAAGACCGGGGCAAGATGGTGTCGCTCTTCTACGGCATCATCACACCCATGCTGAACCCGCTGATCTACACGCTGAGGAACAAGGACGTGAAGGCGGCCTTCAAGAGGCTGGTCACGAGGGTCTTCTTCAGGAAGACAGAGAAATTCCCAGTGCTGGGCCTCGTTGAGGACTCCAGGGGTTAGTATTTCGGTGGCTGGGTTCCTTCCACTTGCTTCTAGAACTACCCGGTGACCTGAGTCAAAATGAAATTCCACTGGCATCTATTTTCTACTGACAGTTCATGGCGCAGGTCCGGAGGAGCGGTCTCAGGAGCTCCCGAAAATTTGTGGCCCTAAAACATCTAAGACTTTAAGCTTTTCGATACTGGTTTGAATGCTTGGGAAGAGTCTTCCAACACTAAAGTGCGAGTAGGAAACAAGACATTTTTATAAACATGCGAGAGCATTCACATACACAGCTGCTCATGGCACATTTCCCCCCTCGGTTGTAGAAAGCCAAGATTAACGACCCTCATGAAAAGCCTTAACACCATCCTCACATCCGCATCATACTGAAATTCACAGTAATTTTTCTTCCAGTATTACCTAAACCTGCCGTCATGTTGTTTCTATACATTCCATTGTTCCTAAATCGGAGATTCCTATTCTATCCCATCAACCAAAGAAAATTGTAGCTGCTTAAATCAAATCATTGCCGCTTGGGCATATTCGTTTAAGTCTTCTGTTGGTTATATTATCTTTCTCCTTTTAACCCCTAAAGAAATTATAGTCTAAACGAGTTTAAAAAGACAAACAACCCAAACCCACACATATACCATCCATTACTTATTTAATGTATTTTTTTTGGAGCGAGAAGAAATCTTATTAATTCCATGTTCCCTTGATGTGGCATACATCATAGTGCCTCTCTTTATGCCCTTCCGAGCTCTTCAAAGGGCTCAGGGAAAAACTTACACTCTATGAATTGCTTATTTGGTTGACTTTATGATTTGTAAGACTGTAATAACGGTAACTGCTTCTTCACTATCCTTTTTCGACTGTTTCTTCTACTAACAGTAGACAAAGCCAGAAAATACAGTAACTCAGAAATGCAATTGGCAGTTTCTCTTTAAGACCTTAGAGTAACATGCATTTTGCTTCCGTAATCCTAACACCACACAGTGGGTCGACCCACCTGAAAGGCTTTTAGAATCCAGACTAGTGGATGTCACCCACCGGTAGAAACCCCTACTCTTTCTAAGGTCTGGCATAGGGGTGAGGGTGGACCTTTCCATTTCTAGTGAGTTCCCAGGTAATGCTGATCAGGTGTCCACATCGGAAGGACTGTTGAGTTCTAGCTTTTATTCTATCAACAAGAACAGTAATTAAAAGGGAAAATGGAAACAGGACATTAGAAGACTGTATTAAAATTTGAGGAAACACTCCCCAGTGAAAATATGTTCAGATTATTAAATTCAATAAATGATAGAACAGATAAATTTTGATGTGATCGCAAATCCAATGTCAGTGAACTTTTAGGAATTAGGAGAAATTAGCAATGAAACCGGAGTGATGGAAATTGAGGTATTTTATATATTTAAAATGAATCACTAATTGATCCAATATATTAGAAAGTGTAAGGTTTCAAGTGATTTATAACAAAATTCTAATTCAATTTGTGACAATCTCAAGTATTTATATAATATGCATCATATGTAAATATATAGTCTATATGTATTAGTTAAATGCATTATATACATGTGAGATATGTATTTCCATTATTTAATATATTATTCATATACTATAATTTATTATTTAATGTGATATATACATAAAAGATTATTTAATGTATTTATATATATAAACAATTCGTTCTGAATTCACTGAGACCAATATATTTGTATAATATATCCTGACTGCAGAAGGGACATTGCAAACATTTCTCACAATAATTTTGTATAATGTGGAGCTATAGTGATCAAGATGGAAAGTAATTTTATGTGTTCCTATCTGTTTGTAAAAGTTCACTCAAAAGTTGATTAATAATATACTACCAATCTGGAAGATAGGTACTTTTGTTGCAAGACTGATGTTTTTTTAATCCATTAAAATATATACTTATCAGTAATGTGTATGAGCTTAAGACAGGCATAATGGATTAGAAATGAACATTACTCCAAGAGAAACTGGTGTTTATGGAAGTCAGAAACAAAGTTAAAATAGCAAAGCAATAAATAAATGGATGAAATTTAACATATACTAATACAGAGGTATTTCCTCCACATTATAGATCATAGGATGGAATATTATCTGGCTGTGATGTCTATAAAATTTCACTGGGAACGTACCATTAATAAAAGATGTAGATTATTGGCTTTAGGTCTAGGATTCGTATTTTAATAAGTACTCTGTAAAACTAAAATACTTTAGGGCCCTCCCTGGTGGCGCAGCGGGTTAAAGCACAGCACCAAGAAGCTAAAGCCACTTCCACATGAGTTCGATTCCCTCCTGCCCCGGAGGTGACCACAGGGCCCGGCAGACCTCTCCTGACCGGCCCGCTGCTCCCCTCAGCAGTGGACTTCTATGGAGAAGCCTCTCGCCGCCCCTGAGCCCCTGGCCTGTACCCCAGTTCTGTATGCACAAATAAATAAATCTTAAAAAAAAAAACTAAAATAATTTATAATGATAGCTCTGTCTTCATGAAAACCTTTCTAATGTCAACATGGTTACATTTCCCCTTCGTCCTACAACAGTAAAATATAATTTTAAGCAGTACTAAAATACTTCTTTAACAGGAAGGACCCCTTATCACATGATGTTTGGTGTTTAGATCAGCTTGCCATTTAACCTTTGATTCCGAGGGCATCAGGGCTGCCCCACTGCTGGGTTCTTGGCTGGCGAAGTAATCAGAATAACAGCAAGTGGCACAACAAAAGAAAAGTCAGTGCAATAACATACGTAGGGAGAATCGACGTCATTATAAATCATAAAACAAAATTGGAGTGGGCCAGGAATATATACTAAGAACTGGGGTATTAAGGAGGGGTTAAGTGGAGAACCCACATGAAAAAGAGATGCCCTTATTTATTTTTTATTTTTAAGTGATTAAATTTTTTATAATTTCTTTATCTGCATATGTTTTACATCAGATGGAGTCCCCATAGGCCACCCCCCACCAGTTCACCTGTGCACCTCAGTTCCTGTGTTCTTTCACCCATGTTTTGTATCTTCTCTCTCCCCACTCCCCTGCAGGATGTCTCTGAATTATAACTGTTATTTTGTTTAGTTTTGTTGTACTGATTTTTTTTTTAAAGATTTATTTATTTGTGCATACAGAACTGGGGTACAGGCCAGAGGCTCAGGGGCGGTGAGAGGCTTCACCAGAGACAGAGTGGGGAGCAGAACAGGCAGATCGAGGAAGTACACTGCTGAGGGGAGCAGTGGGCGGGCCAGGAGAGGTCTGCCACGCCATGTGGTCTCCTCGGGGGCAGGCGGGAATCGAACTCATGGGGAAGCGACTTTAGATTCTCAGTGCTGTGCTTTAACCCGCTGCGCCACCAGGGAGGGCCCTGTACTGATTTTTTTACAGATGTTATTTTTTCCCTATATTCCTCCTATAAGTGGGACCCTCCAATATTTTCCTTTTTCCTGCTGATTTAGTTCACTGAACACCACCCCTTCTAATTCCATCCATAATTCAGCCAATGGCATTGGTCTATCTTTTTCAGTGCTGAATAGTATTCCATTATGTATATGTACCACATCTTCTTGCTCCAGTCATCTATTTTTGGGCATTTGGGTTGCTACAAGTCTTACCTATTATAAATAGTGCGGCAATATGGGGGGTGCATGTATCCTTTTGAGTTAATGTTTTTGCAGACACCCCCATTTTGCCCCAGTGACTTTTAAAGTCATTCTTGTCATTTTTCTTTAGAGATGTAACTAGTTTTGTTTTCTCCTGCTAATCTGTCTGATGTTAATTTGATTGCTGGACCAGCCTGAGAAAACCCCAAAGGTGTGGGGTAAATTTACTTCTATTGAAAGAAAGGTGGCTTTGCCTGAATGATAGTTCTTTTCTTGTCCCAACCTCTTTTCTAACTATATAAGCCTTCCACTTTGTACAGCTCCTGCCAGTGCTTTTCTATTTTCTACATGAGCTGCCGCGCCCATGCCAAGACTTTTCAGTAACAATCTCTCAATTGCTCAGATGGATTTTGTTCCCGAAGACTTGTATTTTTTGACATTGTTACAGGGATCGATGAACTTGCCGGTTAAGAACTGCCCCCCAAGCCCTAGACTTTAAAGACCCATGATCAGAAATAGCCCGAGGGGAGCGCCCTTCGCCTTGGGCAGTGGCGAGCTTTTCAAAGCGTATTTAGCTTCATTTTGGTGTGCACGTTTGTACTCAGTCTAGGCAGAATCTCCCAAAAATGGAAAAGGAAAATTTTGAGTTGCAGAGGAAAATCAGAGCATGCGGTCCTCATTCTCTGGGAGTGATTTTTGCCTAACTCTGGACTGTAGAGAACAGACAATAATTCCTGCCTATGGACTTGCAAACCATCTGGGAAGGCGGCAATTCCCCTGCCCACCCTCTTCCCTTTTCCGTGTAAATCACGATTTCGCCTTATTGACAAATTCCTTTCACTATTCTTGGCCTATACGTGGCATGTTTACGCGTTCGCCTTGGAACTGGTAATACCACCTCATCAGTGACCTCATGCATGACTTAAACAAAAACGTTGCATGTTTTCATGAAAACATTTGCAGGTGTCGGAATTGCAACTTTCAGGAGCCCTCTGCGCCCCCATTTCCTGGCAGCTTCCAATGCCCCCTCCACAATGAGGTCAACCGAAACAGAAAGCCAACCGGAAAATCGCTGCCCCCCTCGGCCTCGCCTTTCTTTGGGGCGCCCAGCAGACACCAGGGGGGTGCGGCTCCCCTTCCCTCCCACCCCCTGCGCCCGCTCCTGGCCCCGCTCTCCGCTCCTCC